GAAGATGAAAAAAAAGATCTGCTTATAAAATAGATACAACGTTTGAAGACCTAAAGAAACTCTGATATAAAATAGATTCAAGATACTCCAATACATAGCAAAAAAGAGCCAAAAACTGAAAAAAGAAGAAAAAAGATATATACTTAAGATATTAGAGAAGATCTTTGTAGAAATCTTTGAAAACTGAAGTATTTGGAGTAAAATTCAAAAGAAATTTTTAAAAAGAAAACCAAAGACTAGAAGAAAACAAAAAAAAAGAAAAGTAAAGAAGAAAAAAAAAGAAGATCTACAAATCCAGATTACAAAAGAAAAAGATTCTGGGCAGACCATATATGACTTGGAAGTAAAAAGACCAAAAAAAAGCCCAAAGCACTTTGAAGAAAAGAAGGTTTACAGAAGAATATACCTAGAAAAGCTCATTAGAAGAAGCTCTCAAAAAATAAAAGAACACTATAATATTGCGAAGCAAGAAGAGAAGACTATTGAAAAGAATATAAGAAGACTCCTGAGAACTAGGTCGCTTATCAGAAAAGATAAACTAAACTAGAAGAAGAAAAGAAGGAAATGTAAATATAAATGAAAGAATTCTGGTAATTTTCTTTTATTGAGAGATAAAATAGAATTACTTGTTAGAAAAAAATTAGATTTAGATTATTGCTTTAAAAAGGAGATTAGTTTAGTAAAGAAAAATTGCCAATTAGATATAGTCAAAAATTCTTTTGATTTGAAACTATCTTGTCATGGTTTTGCTAACTAGCTTGGTATAGCCATCTAGTACAGACAATAGCTTTAACTGGTGAGACAGACTGCACTTAAAAAAAGCTGAGTGATATCAGATCTGTAATTTAGATAGTTTTGAATATCTTATACATTTATTTTAATCTAATAAAGATATTAACAAGGCTGCTAATATTTCAAAAAAAAAATAAAATTATTTAAGAAGTAGTTTGTAGCTAAAAGATAGAAATTTCATAGTAAAAATTGGTGAAATCACTTATAGAATTTTAATAGTAGTGGAATAGCAAAAGATTTTTACAAAGAGTACTATATAAACTTTTTTTTACTAAGTAAGTCTCTCTTTAACTACTAATTAAAGTTTAGTGATTTTGCTACTATTAAACTACACAAACTTTCTTTACAACTTTAATTAGTAGTTAAAGAGAGACTTACTTAGGGTCAGTTAAAGCTAGATGCATTTGGTATAAATTTGAAAATGATCTACATGCTGCACAAATTATCTTATTGATACTTGTATAAACTACTAACCATTACTGCATCAAAAGCAACCCTAACTGCATCAAAAAAGTAACTCTAATGCACCTTGCTTTAGCTATCCCCCTTACTTGGTAAAAAAAGAAGTTTATATAGTACTTTTTGTGAAAATCTTTGGTCATTTCTACTACTATTAAAATTTTATATATAATACTCGCTGATTTTTACTATGATGCTTATATCCTTTAATGTTGAACCTCTTAAAAATTAACTATATATAACTCTTTCTAATGATCATTAATACTAAACTTATGGCTAATAAAAACAGAAACTTGTTGAAGAATAGTAGACTATATAAATAATAGTTTTATAGAAATTAAAGGTATCTTGATTTTTTATCTTTTTTAAAACTTCTTTGTATATTTAGCAAGCAAGTTAAAAGCATTCTTATACAAGATAATTAGCAAGAAAATAGTGCTTTTATACAAAAAATTTTAATAGAAATATAGCTTCTATTAATAAAATAAAAAAGATAATTAATTTAAAAGAAGAACAACAAGTAAGTTTTTAATATACTTTCTATTGAAGTTTAAGACTATCTGCAAACCAAAACTCTCTTTAATACTCTACTTGCTATACTTTATAAAATTTTATTAAAAAGTAAAAAAATTTAATATATTTTATCAAAAAATTAATAACAACAATTGTTGCTAAAAAAAGAAATACATATATATATATATGCTTATTTTAAAATAAATAATGCTAACTAATCTTTGTTTTTAAATATTATAAACACCAGAATCTTAACTTAGTTAAGTTATAAACCTAGAACAGAAAAAACTATTTTTGATCTGTATTGCAGAAGTTTTGCTAAAAATATAAAAAAATTTTAAACTTGAACCTCTATTTAAGAATAAATAGTTTTAATAAAATTTTATATTTTAGATATAGATATAAATAGCTAGTATAGAGATTAAACTAGCTATTATATAATTTTTACAAACTAGTACAAGTTTAATAGTTAAAAACTCAAAAGAAGATAAAAAATCACTAAGATAGTTATATCTAAAATTCCAAACTAGTTAAAATTGTTACCTGTAATCTATTAAATCAAATATCTTCTCTAATTAAGTATTCAAGTATCTGGGTTATCTATTTTGGTTTTGATTAAAAAACCTTTGCTTGTAACCTATTGGTTTACTCTTATTAACTGAATATCCAAAACTAAAATAGATTTTTAATTAAAACCTGTTATCTATAAAAGAAATTAATTCAATATATACTTTTAATAAACTATAAAATAAGTTATAATTTTTTTAAAAAATTGAAGGCTTCTCTAGAGCTAGACAAAGTTATTAGTGCAATCATACAAACCAATAATGATATTAGTGTGAAGAATTTAGATTTATAGCTGTTTTAGAATTTTTAAAATACTGAAAAATTGCTGATAACAGAATTGATATATTTTTATATTTAGCCAAAGCTAATAACTTATTAATTCTGATTCAGTAATTTATTAATTTGGTTATTAGCAATTTTTTAGTATTTTAGAAATTATAAACTAGCTGTAATGCTTAAGTTAAATTTATTTTGCTAAGATAGATAATTAATAAAATTATAAAAAGTATTATGATTCTCAAAATTTTACTATTTAATTCTATTTTTATTTTCTATATAATTTGTTTTATATATAAAAATATATATAATTTATTAAGCTTAAACATGTTTATAAACTTGAACTAAACCAAAATTTGAGTTCAGGTTTAGTTCAAATTTATAATTTTAAGGTTCAGTTTGGATTTAGGTTCAGAGATCTGCAAAACTTAAAGTTTAGTTTAGGTTCAATTGAACCTAAACCTGAACCTAAATTGAACTAAACTAAATCTAAAAATATAGAAGTAATAGTAATTTAATAAAGCATTAAATTGTTCAAGAAATACAATTATAAAATAACAAGAATCTTGCTTTGGAATAAACAAGCAAGAGAAAAAGATTTTAATTAAGAAAAAAATGCTATAAATTATACAACAAATCTATAATTTGATAGATAAGTGTTATTACCAGCTTACAAGATAATTGTGCATAAACTATAAGATTATTCTGTTACCCAAATTTGAATCTTTAAAAATGGTTTTGAAGAACAAGAAAAAATCCCGTCAAAAACTGCTTGCATGATGCTAACTTGGTTGTATTTCAGGTTCTGGATGTTTTTATAGCATAAGGCAAGGAAATTCAGTATTTGCAAGATCATTGAGTGCATTGAGAAATACATGTAAAGACATGCGGGCGTTGTGGGTTCATGAAGAATGATCTCAGAGGATCAAAAACGTTCAAATGTGATTTGTGCAAGATGGAGATGGATCAGGAGATGAACGGTGCCAGAAATAACTTGCTCAAAATATTTGACAGAGGGTTAGGTTTTGCCTGACTTTGGGGCTTGAACCTATGTGGGATACGATACATATAGTAAAGACTAGATTTATTTATTCATATTGGATTCAACTTCAAGGGTACAATATACAGTTATTATTTCTGACCATATAATATTTAAACTCAGTTGTATAACAAAATATTCTATAGATTTCGGCTTAATATCATAAAATGTTTAAATAGTAAAGCTAATTGGTAAAAATTTTACTGTGCGTACCATTTATTTCGCAGAATATTTTTACATAGTATGCTAAACCTAGTTAATAAAAAAAATGTTTTTACATGTAATGATTTCTATCGATTCTGTTTCGAGAATTATATCAGACGTTATTTCTTCGGCGATTGTACATAATTAATATGTTTAATACAAAGTCATTTCATATATAATCAGTAAACATAAATTCTATAAAGCAATAGCGAATTTTCCAACATTATAAGCAGTAATTGACAACAACCCCATCAAAGTGAACCAAATAACTGGAGATAGTAAAATATAAGAATTATATGTTAAAATTAATAATTCATCTTGTGAATCAAAAAGATCAATAGCAGTTGGTCCACACGCTAAGCACATTGCCACGAATATAAACATCGGATCATTGATTATAAACCAATCCCAATCTTTAGCAATAAATTTACACCCTAGAACTACTATTATTCCAACGATAGACATGATTAAATATCTACAAATTATTACATAAATTACGGGTTTATGTAAATTCCATTTGAAAAACAAAGTTTTAGCACATCCAGCTTGGGTGCCGATAGAAACTAAGGTAATTGGAACAGTAAGTACAGCTATATGTTTCATATTTGCCGTGATATATATGTACAGAGGAGATTCCGAATCAAAGAAAGTTGATTTGAGCATTGGGTTTGTTCCAATTATCAGAGCTGATAATCCAGCAAATACTGGTGGTGATATTATATTTGATAATATATGTTTAACTTTCGTTAGGTAAAGAGTTTCACGGAAAGGTGAAGAGGATCTTTTCAAAACTAATAATAATGGAGTTTCTTCTGTAAAAATGGCATGATTGAAATGCGTGAATAATGTTCTTGGTTCAGTCTTGGAAATTTGACTTGGCAACAAGGAGTGATTTGATGTGTCTATGGGATCATCTTTGGGAAGAAATAGCTCCACAAAAGGTCTAATTAAAGTTATCATAATTTTTTTTTTCATTAATTTAAAGATAATGTATAAAATATATAGTTGATATAAGACACAAACCTAATGATTAGAACGAAAAGAGTAGATAACAACAAATAGGTAATCCCACGCGACTTCGTGTCCTGTAGAGTTTCACCAAATTCTGATTCAAAAATTTGCATAGCATTTGTGCAGGCAAAAGCTTTAATAAATCCCACAGGCACTGCCGTGATATTATTAAATATTATGGACGACATTATAAATTTTTTTCTTGATTGTGATAAGTTTAATAGATTTCCACCGAAATTTCCAAGAAATCCACTTATTATTGCAAATAACACACAGAATACAGGTAATGGCCATATTTTTACTATCGTTGATGAATCTATGGTACCTCCAATTTGAGAGAATAAGAGACAAGGAAGAAATAGATTCAAAACTAGTTTCGCAATTATCTGAAAAGAAATGAAAGAATCCAAATTATATTTATAAAAGTAGAGTATCGACTAAATGAGAAATATAAATGAAAAAAAAATAACCTTTTTTATCGTTGGAGTAAAGATACCACACCTTACTCCTGAATATCCAATGAAAACCATGCCGACTACATATGCACTTGACTGATTACACGCAAAAATCAGAAAAATGAGAGAATCAAAACAAAATTCTAAAATACTAATATGAAATTACCTCACATGTAGCGAGTAATAATGTTGAAAAAGGTAGAGACGGTTCTGAAGATTCCATTATAATAAGACTAAATGCTAGGCAAAAATAATCGATCCCTTCCAGTCCAAGATATGACTATACACTTTATATATACACTTTATATATATACACTTTATATATACACTTTATATACACTTTATATATACACTTTATATATACACTTTATACACTTTATATATCAACGCATTATTTGCAACACGCGAGCAACGCAATTGCAACATGTGATTTAACAACCTTATTTAAGACTTTTGGCTGATATTTTTGGTTTATCGCCGATTAATAAATGTGGTACAATATGTCATATTGATATAGATAAGGGTTTTTTTGTCTTATCTGATATTTCGACATAATCATTTATCTTATTACGTAATTAAAATGTGGCCTATATATATATATATATATAGATATCGCCTCTTTTAAGTTGGTGAAAAAAATACTACCATCTCTAATAACGACAGCGATAGGCGAAAAACTTCACAGAAATCAAGGGCTGAATTACAGCATATCGATATGAATGTCGCTAAGGGAAATAAATCTATTTTTAGAATTTCCCAATTTCCCTTAGCGACACTCATGTTATACGTCATAAGTGGGGGTTCAAAGATGATTAATACGTAATCATACCTAATCATAATATGTAAGATCCAACAAAGAATTTACGAACATTGTCAAATACGTAGATTGGAGATCTTGATAGTTAAAAGATTTTACGAACATTGTCAAATACGTATCTTGGAAATCTTAAAAGATTTCTAGGTTAGTGATACTTATTTTGGAAATCTTAAAAGATTTCTAGGTTAGTGATACTTATTTTGAGTAATAATTGTCATTATCAAAATGTTTCTTGTAACATTGAATTTTTGTGTCAAAAGCATAATTCCGAGGTGAGACGTTGGTAACACGAAAAAATGTATCTTTGTCGTGATATAAACTTGAATCATCTAGAAATATGATATCTCCCCAAAATTAGAAATCAATATAACGATAACGATACAGTAAATCGCACCAGTCATATCGATACAGTAAATCGCACCAGTCATATCGTTATCATGTGAAATTATTCGTATAATGAAATTTTATCTTTCAATGAAATAAACATCCACGTATATGAATCATTAATAAAAATTTTTATTTTATATAGAAATAGCTACACAAACGTCCTAAAGTGGTTTTGGTAGATTTCGCTGACAACCATTTCGCCGACAGCCCATTTAACCAACAAATCAAACATCGCCCAAAAAACAGTTCATGCTTTAAAATTCAAAACTACAATTATACTTTTTCTTATACAAAAAAAATAGTAAAAATCGGTAAATATCGTCGCTATGGATAAAAAAAAATTAGTAAAAATCGGTAAATATCGTCGCTATGGATTTTTTTATTTGCAAATCGTGTCAACTGTTTAAAAAAGTATGAGAAAAAGAACTTTGATCCAATCAAAAGAATGGTGAACTTAGAAGATTTGAAAATGCAAAGACGTTGATAAAGACATGAAATGGGCATAACGCAGACACTTTCTAATGGCAATAAACTTGGTTTAATGTCTAAAAATTTGTATATTGTCATGAGTTTCATTAATTCTTATAATGAAATCAATTTGGCATCTTAAATGAAATTGTACAGGAAAGATTAGAAGTGCAACAAGTTTTAATTATGCTTTAATTACCCATGAGAAATACGAAGCTGCATGTACAGTACAATCAATAATTATATTTGTTTAAATATCTTTTTTTTGCATTGTCTTTATAAAAAATAATATTTGTAATGAAAATGAAAATTATCGAGATTCATTTTTTGTTTTGTAATACAGTCAAAACTCGAGATAACGAATTTTTACATAGCGAATGTTATAATCTAGCGAAAAATTTGTTGTGGCGAAAATGTGTTCGAATATCCTTCTGATATCCAAATATTGAAGGTTTTGACCAGCTGGACTTATATCAACTTATCAGAGCGTTGCTATTTAATTTTTAATTATTCTGGCAGGATCTGATTTTTGAGTGATACTGGGTAGGTTAAGAAACTAGAATCGGAACCAATTTTAATAGGTCGAGTCTGTTATAAATAAAGGACGTTCTCAAACGCCTTAATCAATGGGTCAAACGAGTCAGTGAATAAATTTTACTTGGAAAATATTTTAAGCGCCAAGTTTGTTTGTCATTGTGATGAATATTTAAATAATAAACGTAATTTGATAAAGTTTATTACGTGAATACAATATTTTTTATTTTTATTAGTAAAAAAAAAAAAATGTTAAGAGAGTTTATCATTTCAATTTACAAACTTTTTGCCACAAACCATCATTTTTATATACCTGACTTGTCAAAATTTACAATTACCGGTAATTGAGTATTCAAAAAGATCACACAAGTAACTTTATCATCATCATCATCATCAACGAATTATTTTTTTTTATTCTTACACCAAAAGTTTATGAGAAAGAAATACCGGAAAGCCCAAAAAACAAATACGGTTGTTTACCATTTTTTGCCAGCAACAAATTTTACTATTTCGCCAATAATTTCTTCATTTCGTACAACAATCAAATATTAACGAAGACCTAAACCGATAAATAATGAATCGCTCAAGTATCACCTAGCTAATCACCCAAAAACCCGATGTCTAATATTATCATTAAATAACGAAAGCAATGATTGCAAATGTTTTTTTTTTTTTTTAATAACATGAGTAATACCTTCGAATTATATTAGTTCTGACGAGGAATCTATACTGTTGATTAATAGCTTTTCTGAAGAAAATTTTTTAAAAGAAAATAATTCTATGAAAGCTTTAATACTGGTAAAAAGGAAAATTTTTTCGAAGAAACTTAAATGAAAGCTTTAATATCGATAATACGTTGAAGACAAGTTTCCTGTGATTCTTTTCCTCACAAACTTCTATACAACATATTATGAAGCACAACATTCTACACCGCTACTATAGATGTTAAAAACGAAACTCTGATGAAATGCCGAAACTCTGGGTGTTCTCAAGCCTCAATCAATTAATTAGATAATGATCATGATGACGCTCAAGCATCACAATCAATGATGATATTTATAGAATTAAATGCTTGAACATACTCTTTTTCCATTTTCCACGATCTTTGTTATGACACCTAAAGCATTTTAAAAAAAGTTCTACTCAATTTAAATCTTTTGTTGCAACAGCAATAGAATCGATTTACGGAATCATTAGCGAAAGTTGTCTTGCAGCAACAAGAAATAATTTTTTTCTTTTTTTTTGCAAATATTATTATTATTTAAATTTTATTGTACGAAAAATGGAATAACAGTATTCATTACGGTTTGATTAAATTTTAAAAAATGGTTTGTATTTTATTACATTCATATAAAGGTATCGATTATGTGTTTTAAAAGCCTCAAGCATTAAAATAAAGTGACTATTTTTTTATATCAGTTAAAACTTGTTGAGAATTCATGTTTGATATGTAAAAAATTAACAATTATTATAAAACGCACCTATGGTGGTTTTGCACCTATTATATGTTTTTATTAGGTTTTTTAAAATTTTCTAAGTTTTTATAAGTTTTGTATATAAAATTTTTAACACCAATTTTTTCACGCTAAAGTTAATATTAAGGTTAGGATTAGAGTTTGGGAAGGGTTTTTTGGGGCGTAGAACATTTTTACTTAGAAAACCTCACATCGATTAATTAGCCAGTTTTTGAGATAATGTATACATAGGTGTAAAACACCATAGGTGCGTTTTAGTAAAATTCAAAAATTAAAAGTAATGCTTATCAATGGTAAATTTTTGAAGTATCTCGCCGATTTTTTCATCGAAATGGTAACTCACTTGAACACCTGACGAAAATGTTGAAATCCTGGCAAAATGGCCAAACCCTAATAAAGATATATGAAACCATCTCTCAGAAAGTGTCAGTTCTGTGATCTCCAAGCGGACTTAAATTAGAGCTGTACAAATAACAATAAACTCCTTTTTTTTAAATGTACAGATTACTGATATATGGTTATGGATTGGCACACTCTGCTTAAAGATCCAGGATTAATACTTTTTTAATCAAACTAACTTTTTTTGCTTATCGTTATCGTTTTAACTGTTGATTATGTAATGCCAAGCGAAATAATCAGGCTAAAATGCGGTTTTCAATTTTAATCAGGGTAAACATTTTTTTTTTTTTTTTTTGCTTGTTGTTCTAATTGTTGACTATACAATGTCAAGCAAAATATTCAGGTTAAAAATGTGGTTTTTAATTTTAATAAAATATTTTTTCGCTCATACATCAAGTAAAATTCTTAATTTGTTATATAAAAATTTTATTATAAACTAGTAATAAAACGGTGACGTTTTATAGGGCTGGAGCCTTATGTATTAGGTTCTAAATTTTTTAAAAAAATTGTAAAATTAATATTGTAGCTTATCTAATATCACCAAGCTAATATATCGATATGAT